TGTTTGCTTTTCTTCCAGTTTTTTTTCTTTTTGTTCCTCAGACTTTGTAATTTCCATTGTTGTTTCTTTCAAGTTTGCTGCTCATGTGTATTCTTCTATTTTTTTCATTTTTATTTTATTTTTTTCACTTTTTAAAAAATTTAAATTTTAGTCGACATACAGTGGTATATTGGTTTTAGGATTAGAATTCAGTGATTCATCACTTACATACAACACCCAGTGCTCATCACAAGTGCCCTCCTTAGTATCTATCACCCATCTAGCCTATCTCCCATTCACCTCCTTCCATTAACCTAGTTTGTTCTCTGTCATTAAGAGTCTCCTGTGGTTTGTTTCCATCTCTTTCTTCTCTCCCCTGCCCTTCCTGTATATTCATCTGTTTTGTTTCTCAAATTCCACATATTAGTGAAATCATATGGTACTTGTCTTTCTCTGGTTATTTCACTGAGCATAGTACATTCTAGCTCGACCCATGTCATTGCAAATGGCAAGATTTTGTTCTTTTTGATGTCTGATATTCCAGTGTGTATGTGTGTATATATATATATAGTGTGTATATATGTGTGTGTGTGTATATACATACATACTATATCGTTTTTATGCACTCATCAATTGATAGACTTTTGGGCTCTCTCCATAGTTTGGCTATTGTTGATAAATGCTGCTATAAACATTGGGGTGCATGTACCCTTTCAAATCTGTATTTTTGTATCCCACACTGGTGGCTGCACCAGTTTGCATCCCACCAGCGGTGCAAAAGGGTTCCCCTTTTTCTGCATCCTCATCAACACCTCTTGTTTATTGTGTTGTTAATTTTAGCCATTCTGACAGGTGTGAAGTGGTATCTCATTGTGGTTTAGATTTGTATTTCCCTGATGATGAACGATGTTGAGCATCTATTCAGGTGTCTGTTAGCCATCTGGATTTCTTCTTAGGAAAAGCTATTCATATCTTCTTTCCATTTCTTCACTGTATTATTTCTCTTTTGGGTGTTGATTTGGTAAGTTCTTTATAGATTTTGGATCCTAACCCTTTATCTCACATGTCATTTTACAAATATCTTCACCTATTCTGTTGGTTGCCTTTTAGTTTTGCTGATGGTTTTCTTTGCCGTGCAGAAGCTTTTTATCTTGAGGTTCCAATAGTTCATTTTTGCTTTTGTTTCCCTTGCCTTTGGCAACATGGCTAGTAAGAAGTTGCTGCAGCTGAGGTCGAAGAGGTTTCTGTTGGTGCTCTCTAAGATTTTGATGGTTTCCTGTCTCACATTTAGGTCTTCCATGAATTTTGGATTTATTTTTATATATGGTGTAAGAAAATGATCCAGTTTTACCAACACCATTTGTTGAAGACACTTTTTTTTCCATTGGATAGTCTTTCCTGCTTTGTCAAAGATTAGTTGACCATACAGTTGTGGGTCCATTTCTGGGTTTTCTATTATGTTCCATTGATACACGTGTCTCTTTTTGTACCAGTACCATACTGTCTTTGCAATAGCTTTGTAATATAGCTTGAAATCTGGATTCATGATGCCGTCAGTTTTAATTTTCTTTTTCAGGATTCCTTTGGCTCTTTGGACTCTTTTGTGGTTCCATACAAATTTTAGGATTGTTTGTTCTAGCTCTGTGAAAAAATGCTGGTGGTAGTTTGATGGGAATTGCACTAAATGTGTGAATTATTTTGGATAGTGTAGACATTTTAACTATGTTTGTCCTTCCAGTTCATGAACATGGAATGCTTTTCTATTTCTTTGTGTCCTCTCCAATTTCTTTTGTAAGTGTTCTATAGTTTTCAGAGTATTGATCTTTGACCTTATTAGTCAGGTTTATTCCTAGGTATCTTATTGTTTATGGTGTAATTGCAAATGGGATTGATTTCTTGGTTTTTTTTTTTCCTGCTGCTTCATTATTGGCATGTAAAAATGCAGCAGATATCTGCACATTGATTTTATATCCTGTGACTTTGCTGAATTTATGTGTTCTAGCAATTTTTTGGTGGAATCTTTTGGGTTTTCTACATTGAGTATCATATTGTCTGTGAAGAGTGAAAGTTTGACTTCTTCCTTGCTGATTTTGATGCCTTTTCTTCTTGGTCTCTGATTGCTGAGGCTAAGACTTCCAGCACTACGGTGAATAGTAATGGCGAAGAGTGGACATCTGTGTCTTATTCCTGACTGTAGGGGAAAGGCTCTCAGTTTTTCCCCATTGAAGATGATATTAGCTGTGGGTCTTTTGTATATGGCTCTTATGATATTGAGGTATGTTCCATCTATCCAAACTTTGTTGAGGGTTCTTATCAAGAATGGATGCTGTGTTTTGTCAGATGCTTTTTCTACATCTACGACAGGCTCATATAGTTTTTATCCCTTCTTTTATTAATGTGATATATCACATTGATTGATTTGTGAATATTGAACTCCCCCAGCAGCGCAGGAATAAATCCCACTTGATCGCGGTGAATAATTTTTTCATGTGACTACTGAATTTGATTTGTTAATTTATCCATGTTCGTCAGAGATACTGGCCTATAATTCTTTTTAGGGGGTCTTTGTCTGGTTTGGGACTCAAGGTAATGCTGGCTTCATAGAATGAGTTTGAAATTTTACCTTCCATTTCTGTTTTTTAGGACAGTTTGAAAAGAATAGGTATTAGCTCTGCTTTAAATGTCTGGTAGAATTCCCTTGGGAAGCCATCTGACCCCGGACTTTTGTTTGTTGGGAGATTTTTTATTACTGATTCAATTTCTTTCCTGGTTATAGGCCTGTTCAAATGTCTTTCTTCCTGTTATAGTTTTGGTAGTTTTTGAGTTTCTGGGAATTTGTCCATTTCTTCCAGATTGCCCAGTTGAAATGTAATTTTTCATAGTATTTTCTCATAATTGTTTGTATTTCTTTGGTGTTGGTTGTGATCTCTACTCTTTCATTTGTGATTTTATGTTTTGGAGTCCTTTATCTTCTTGATAAGTCTGGCTAGGGGGTTATCGATTTTGTTAATTCTTTCAGAGAAACAGCTTTTAATTTTGTTGATCTGTTCTGTATTTTTTGTTTGTTTCTATATATTTTATTTCTGTTTTAATCTTTAATGATATCTTTAGGCTTTATTTGTCATTCCTTTTATAGCTCCTTTAGATGTAAGGTTAGGTTGTATATTTGGAAATCTGCCCTTTTTTAAAAAAAATAAAGTTTGTTTATTTTGAGAGAGAGAGAGCATGTAAGCAGGGGAGGGGCAGAGAGCGAGGGGGAGAGAGAATCCTAAGCAGGCTCTGTGCTGTCAGTAAGGAGCCCGACGCAGGTCTCAATCTCATGGACTGTTAGATCATGACCTGAGCTGGAATCAAAAGGTGGGCACTTACCTGTCTGAGCCATCCAGGTGCCCCTGGAGATCTACTCTTTTAATCTTTCTAGTAAGTTTTCTGTTTCAGTTATTATACTTTTCATCTACAGTACTTCTTTTTTCATTTATTTTTAGGCTTTCTGTCTCTTTATTGATATTTCCATTTGGTTCATAAATTGTTTTCTTGTCTTTTCCCACAATCTCTATTTGTTCATAGAGCATTTAAAACATAATTCTTTGTCTTGCCAATCTGCCATCAGGTCTTCTGGGTCAGTTTCTATTACTTTTTTTCTCTCTTTTAATGGACCATACTTTCCTTTTCTTATTCCCTGTGGAGTTTTTGTCAAAAACTGGACGTTTGAAATTAATAATATGATGACTTTGGAATTGAGATTTTTCTCCATTCCCAGCATTTGCTGTGTTTTGTTACTGTTTTTATTGCTTTGTTTTTGTTTTTTATTATAGTGTGCTATCTCTCTGCTAAGGATCACACTGAGGTGTAAACTTGTAGTCTTCTCATATCTTTTCTAAGCCTTTCTCTCGGCAAGGGTGGCCTCTTTGTAATTTTTCTTGTATATGCACTTATTTTTGAATGTCCATATCTTTAATGTCTGGCTCCCAAAAGGGGACAAGAGAAAAATGAAGGTGGGAAACAAATGGCAATGGTCTTTTAAGTTCTGGAAGTCATTTCAGGCCAAGTAGGAGCTCACTTATAACAGGATTCTTGCACAGAGAGACAGGACACTGAGTTTCCTCTTTCCAGGAAGCAGTTTTATTTGTGCCAAAACGGGCTCAGCGGGCTAAGACCCCACAAAGGCTGAGCCCCAAGAGCAGCAAGGTATAGCCTTTTAGGCAATTTCTACTAATTTGTCTCCCATATATGATGACTAATTTCGTCTGATTGGACATATTTCAAGTTACAGAGTTGGGTGAAAGCTATGCATATGTGTATAGAAGTTGATTGGGCCACGTTGCCTTCCTCTGTTCTGAGAATCCTCACTATATTCCTTAGAGAGTGGCTTTACTACACACCTACCTCTTTGTACTTCTGTGATCAGAAGCAGTAATTCCCAATCAGAGTATGGATCCTCAATATTTGGAGGACATGATTTGTTTTGCCCATCTTGGCTCTTAATGGCTGTGTGTAAACTGCAGGAATATGTGCACAACTGCCTGCCATGTGGCTTGGTTGGAAGATGGGAAGCTTTGCCTCTGCTGAGAGATGAAATTGACTGAAGTTAATGAAAATTTACCTGTGCAAGCCTTTCCCTGGAATTTACAAGCCTTCAGTAGAATCCAGAGTTCTAAAACAATTACACCAAACAAATTCTGCCAGTGCAGCTTTTTTTTCTAGGTGGAGAGGCAGATTTCTATTGCTTTGGGCCATGCCACCAGTGCTGAATCTCTTATGTGGATTCACTTAAACACATAGCATTATTGCATGTGTTTTTATGATAGAGTATAGATGGAATTGCTTTATATATTTACTATTGACATTTTTATAGGCGTGTATGTATCTTTCTGTATGTAGTCATTGTCCTGTGATCACACGTACTTGTGTATATTTTTATATATTTTTCACATATATCTGAATTTTGTATTAATAGAAGCTATAGCTAACACTAGAAGATAAAAACAAATGTATGAACTTACGTGTTTTCCTTTATGTAGGCAATGTTCAGAATGTGACCAGGCAGGGAGCAGTGACATGGAAGCAGACATGGCCATGGAAACCTTACCAGACGGCACCAAACGGTCAAGGAGGCAGATTAAGGAACCAGTGAAATTTGTTCCACAGGACATGCCTCCAGAACCTAAGAAGATTCCAATAAGAAACACGGTAATTTTTTCCCTGTTTATCATAATCATCACAAAATTCTGAGGCCAAATTAAGAGGTAAGAAAGATAACAGATGAACATATACTCAGGAGTCAAAGAAAGAAACCGGTATATTACTATAGGTCATTGTTAAGAGTTTGTTGTTTTATATTATGAAATACACATAATGACTACATAACTGAGACTTTATGCTTTCTATATTCAACTTAAAGCATAATAATAATAATGAATACCCACTGTATCCACTGGCGTGCTTCAAAAATAAACATTACTAATGCCTTTGATGTCCCCTGTGAATCCCTTGGTAATTACATTCTTACATGGCTAGTGCAGACATCACCTCCTTCCTCAACTTTATATTTCTCATTCTTTTCTTCCTTTTTTTTTTTTTTAGTAATTACTCTCCAAATGTGTGTGTTTATAAATAATACATAGTTTTGCAGGTTTTGAATGAATGGAGTCAGACTTCTTTTGTTATTTGATACTTTGACCAGTTTTTTTTTTTTTTTTTTTTTTTTAAGTTTATTACTTATTTTGAGAGGGAGGGCATGAGTTCGGGAAGGGCAGAGAGAGAGGGAATGAAAGAATCCGAAGCAGGGTCTGTGCTGTCACCACAGAGCCCAATGAGGGACTCGAACTCACGAACTGTGAGATGATGACCTGAGCAGAAATCAAGAGTTGGATGCATGACCGACTGAGCCACCCAGGCACTCCAAACCAGGTTTTATTGATGTGATTAATAAATACTAATCTGTGTAGTTATAGTTCATTTTTTTTACTAATGTTTAGTATTTTTATTAAAAGAATAGATTATATATTTTCTCTTTAGATTGGCAGTCTTATTTCCATCTTTTTCCTTTTATAAACAATTCTGTTTTGAATATTTTTGTCAATGTCTCCTGCAGGATGGTAACAAGGAGTTAGGATATATGCCAAGGTGTTCATTTGCTTAGTTATAGGATATGTACATCTTCAGTTTTTCTACTTAATTCCACTGTGTTCCAAACCAGTTTATAGTCATAGCAATGAATAATCTTACTGTTGCTCCTAAACTTACTTTGTGCAATATTTTAATGCTTTCCAGCACAGTACATGTAAAATAGTATGTCATTTTATTTTGTGATTTGCTGCAATATTAATGACTTTGACTATGTGTATATTTTGGTAAATTGTATTTTCTCTTCTAGGAAACGTAAATGCAAGTCTTTTCTAGTTTTTCTATGAGGTTGTTAGTCTATTTCTCATCATAAAATTTTTGAGGTTAGAGTTTAAAGAATTTCTTTCAGAAAGCATTTATATTTGTTATTACCAGGTGTCTGTGAGGCATACTAACCTAAGACCATTTTATTTTTTTATTTATTTACTTTTAAATGTTTGTTTATTATTTACTTACTTAGAGAGAGAGAGAGAGAGAATTAGCGAGGAGACGGGCAGAGAGATAGGAGAGAGAGAATCCCAAGCAGGCTCCATGCTGTCAGTGCAGAGCCCATTGTGGGGCTCAATCTCCTGAACTCTGAGATCATGACCTAAGCCAAAATCAAGAGTCACCTGCTTAACTGAATGAGCCACCCACGTGCTGCTAACTTAAGACCATTTTAAATAAGTTTGGTGTTTGTATTTTTTTCCATTATGTAAATAGTGTCGATTTCTGTCCCAATCCCATGAAGGCTGGCTTGCAGTTAGGAATTTTTGGTGAGACATTTTTTACTTTTTTACCTTGAACCAAGGCAGACATTTTTAAAAATCTGCCTCCTCCTGAAGGAGATGTAGATTTTTTTCTTTTTTTTTAAGTAGGCTTCATGCCCAGCACAGAGTCCCAATGGTGGGGCTTGAACTCATAACCCTGAGGTCAAGAAATGAGCTGAGGTCAAGAACCGAGCTGAGGTCGAGTCAGATGCTTACCCAACTAAGCCATCAAGGCATCCGAAGACGTGGATATTTTTAGGGTTAGTTGTCATCCTTTGTTTTGTTACCTGTTTAGCTTTAGAGAGTTGTTGCTTTTTTCCATAAAATAACAGTTTTCTAAAAAAATTTGTTTAATCTATAATAACACATTTAATCTAATCACTAAAGAGATCTTAAGAGAAGTTACCTCAAGTATTTCATTCAGTTTGTGTTATGGTCTTATTTGAAACTGAGGACACAGATGTGGAAATTTTCTCCCAGATAATTTAAATAGTTGATTTTTAGTGCTCTAAATTGATCAACTTGAAATTGTTTTATTTATAATTCTCATTAGTTTAAAACAATTTTTTTGGCCTCACGAATACATTTTGTTTACAAATGAACTAGAGAGAATTTTCCTTTATGTCTGCTCATTTCTTTCTTTTGTCTTTCTTTAAAATAATTTAATGTTTATCTAATTTTTGAAAGAGAGAGACAGAGTGCAAGTGGGGCAAAGGTAGAGAGAGAGAGGGAGACACAAAATCTGAAGCAGGCCCCAGGCTCTGAGCTGCGGCCCAAACCCACAAACTATGAGATCATGACCCGAGCTGAATGAAGTCAGACCTTAACCGATTGAGCCACCCAGGCACCCCAAGCCTGCTCATTTGTAATATCTTTTCTGTAACTTCAATGCAAATATCAACGGCTATTAAAATCTTAGAGTGAAGCACAGTTACTTCATGAGTCTGTGTTTGCAAAGATTATCTGTTTGTGAAACATCATTTTCTTTATTGTTTAAAGAAATCTTTAGGACCAGTGTTACCACCTTTAACTATGAAGTTATATATAAAGGGAAATTTTGTACATATTATAGTGATATTTATGTGTACATAGTTTAGTATTATATAAGATAAAAGAGGATCCTGTATTTTTCTAGTTTGCTTGTTTGTTCTTACAGCCTAGAGTTATAAAAAAGCTTTTAAATTTTCTAATTTATTCCAATTTCTTTGGCTGTATTCTCTGTCTCTTGTTTTCTTGTGTAAAAGTCTTAGTCTTCTTGTAGCTGTGTGTGGGTAAAACGTAAGAAAGGATTCTATGGCTAGTAGTTTTAGGAAATACAGTCTGATTATTTTCTCTCCTGGGGGAACTCAAATGTATACTGAAGTCTGAGAAACACTACTGTTTAGCATAATGATTAACTTTTTTCTCTAACTTATTTTGTCAAAGAGCACTTTTCTCAAGACCCATTTTTTTTTTAAATGTTTTTATTTATTTCTAGGAGAGAGAGAGAGAGAGACAGCATGAGCAGGGGACGGTCAGAGAAAGAGGGAGACACAGACTGAAGCAGGCTCCAGGCTTTGAGCTGGCAGTCAGCACAGAGCCTGACGCGGGGCTCGAACCCACAAACCGCGAGATCATGACCTAAGCAAAACTCGGACGCTTAACCGACTAAGCCACCTAGGCGCCCCTCAAGACCCATTTTTTATTGTATCATAGAACATTGAATGGTACCAGCTTTGGAAATGATGTTCTAGAGGCCTAGATTTTCTTGCATAAATTAGGTCATCTGTAGGGTGTTTATTGGAACGTAGGTTTGGTCTCATCTGAGTACTAGTTAATTAGAATTAGGGGTTGGGTTTAAGCAGACTTCTTAGGTTGTATTCTTATGCAGACTAAAGTTTGAAAATAACCATCTGGATAATGTTTATCATTATTACTCTTATTCTTTTCCTTCCTTCTTCCCTTCCTTCCCCCCATTAATCCATACAGCAATTCAGAAAACTTTTGATGAACATGTTCTATTTGTCAGGTACCTGATAAAGGAATGTAAGAATGAGAGATGCAGAGGGGCACCTGAGTGGCTCAGTCGGTTGATCATCCCACTTTGGCTCAGGTCATGGTCTCACGGTTCCTGGTTTCGAGCCCCGCGTAAGCCTCTGTGCTGACAGCTAGCTCAGAGCCAGGAGCCTGTTTCAGATTCTGTGTGTCCCTGTCTCTCTGACCCTCCCCTGCTCAAGCTGTCTCTTTCGCAGAAATAAATGAGATAGATAAATAAAATTTAAAAAATAAAAGAATGAGAGATGCAGAGGAGAATACAATCATCTTGGTCTTGATCTTACCATTTAGGTTGAGTTCCTATGGTTACCTTAACTTTTTATCTTATCAGTTCTGTTTCAGAGATATATTAACATTTTAAATTATTAAATGGTATGGTTAAAAATGAGGCAGCCTACTTGTTAATTATGGGAATCCAGGTATTTAACTGCTTTGTATAACCAAATGTGTCTCACAGTAAATAATTGATTTATCTCTCCCTTAAGTTTAATTTTTGCATTCTTGTTCCTAGTATATTCCTACTTATACTTTTCATTTTGGTACATGTATTACTACACTTATTTGTTGTAGACTCTGGGTTTAAAGTTCTTCTTGTCCAGCAAGAAAGGAGATGCAGGATTAAAATGCTAGAGATGGCTTATGATCAGGAAAATACAAGAGCCCCGATTAAGGGTTCTTGCTCCATTTTTATTAGGATCAGAAGATTTACAAACAGGGTGATGGATGTGCACTAACAGACAATGAAACTCTGAACATTGGGGTGCCTGGGTGGCTCAGTTGGTTAAGCGTCTGACTTCTGCTCAGGTCATGATCTCATGGTTTGTGGGTTTGGGCCCCATGCTGGGCTCTGTGCTGAAAACTCGGAGCCTGGAGCCTGTTTTGGTTTCTGTGTTTCCCTCTCTCTCTGCCTCTACCCCACTTGCTCTCTGTCTCTCTTTCAAAAATAAATAAACATTAAAAACAATAAAAAAAAAGAAACTGTGAACATTAACTAATGGAGGTGAGGGAAAGAGAGTCTTGAAGATATGTGGGTTTAGGGGTTTGGTTAATACAAAATAAAATCCTGGTGCCTGGCGGCTGGGCTGGAGGTTGTTTACAGCAGACTTGAGGCACCACCTCTGTTTACCTAAACTGGTTTAGGGGACAATTAAGACAGAGCAAGCTACCTCAGGGTCAGTGAGGCACCTTTCTTTTGTTAATTATCTCTGGGCAACTTTGCCCTGCCTGGTCTATAGCTCTGTTTACCTAATTTGGTCCTTTCTTCCTGTGAAAGCAGCTTTC